TTTTATAGGACACTACTTACTAGGTCAGGGTTTCGTGGATCTTATTATAGGGACAACAGTGACTACTAACATAAAGGAACAGGTCGGGGTTTCGTGGATCTTGCTATTTATTATAGGGATAACAGTGACGACTAACAGGTTAGGGTTTCACGAAAGGTTGCGAGCAGTATTGCATCAGTTGAAGTAGCAGTAATACCAGTTTCTAAGTGTATAAAGATACATGTCGTGTTTTTTTCATTAAATGTATATTCTGGGAAATTTCATATAATTAAATCAGCAACACAGTTATGACGCTGTAGGGAAAAAAAACCAACAAATATGACGTTTGGTAAATATCTGTCTGAAACGTAATTTCAAATCATTTAGTTTTTTTGAATACCAGAAAATACTTGTGGAACTATTTAAATATTTGGTATTTTTTTATATTCTATACCAAAGAATTTTTTTTTAATTCAAAATGTTACTGGTGATTTCCAGTGGCCAATAAAAGCACGTGTACATGTTCCTGCACGTGTATATGTTCCTATAGGTAAATGACGGCGAAAACCAGGAGAAACAAAATAGCGGAGTTTAAATAACTCCAAGAATGATAAAATAATATCAATAAAAGGTCCACTGGTCCAGGGCTCTGAAGGGTAAGCTTGTTTACTACTACCCTGTCATTTGTTCCGCTGTGACAATCTAATAACGTATCATAAACAAAATTATCACTTAGTCGAGCCCGGAAAACTTCTATGACATCATTCAAGTTCGTGGCTATCTACCTGGTAGCACAATCCAATGGCTGAAAGAGGTTGAACGGTAACTTGGGCAGGTGAGGCTTATCAGACGCTGATATAGCAATGTTTGTAAGTTATTTAGAAACGGATATACATAAACTTAAAAAAAGAAATAAAATACACTGGGAATCAATAGGATTAGAAGATCCCGTTTTCTTATCTTGCATGTTATAAAGACACGTGTTAACACAGGGAGACGTGATAAGGATACCTAGGAAATATTGTAACGAGTGAATCTATTAACAAAAAATAGAGCAACAAGTTATTCTATATCAAGAAAAAATTACTGTCAAGTGTGGCTATAAAACTATTGTAACAGGCGGATCTGTTATTTCAACATACTGTTTAACTTTCCAAGGGAGACTTGGATCATATTGTAATTATCAACGAAATATTATATCACGTGGTTCAGCAAAGAAATGAATCATACAGATGAGTGGCGAAATATCTTCAAGTAACAAAAGGAAATATCTACCAGTAACAGAAGGAAATATCTTCCAGTAACAGAAGGAAATATCTTCCAGTAACAGAAGGAAATATCTTCCAGTAACAGAAGGAAATATCTTCCAGTAACAAAAGGAAATATCTCCCAGTAACAAAAGGAAATATCTTCAAGTAAAAGAAGGAAATATTATCCAGTAATAGAAGGAAATATCTTCCAGTAATAGAAGGAAATATCTTCAAGTAACAGAAGGAAATATTATCAAGTAACAGAAGGAAATATCTTCAAGTAATAGAAGGAAATATCTCCCAGTAACAGAAGGAAATATCTTCCAGTAATAGAAGGAAATATCTTCCAGTAACAGAAGGAAATATCTCCCAGTAACAAAAGGAAATATCTCCCAGTAACAAAAGGAAATATCTTCAAGTAAAAGAAGGAAATATCTTCCAGTAACAGAAGGAAATATCTCAATATTTAGTGAACAAGAAAGTATTTTCGTACATAATCTATCTACTACAAACTATACTAAGAGTTCAGTTGCCAGGGTAACATTCGATAGTCACCAAGGAAACAGTTGATACAGTCACCAGGGTAACTCTTGATACTAAGGAGATCAATCCACATTCTTGCAAAAATATGGATTGATCTCCTTTGAATGGTTTAGCGTGATTTTATGTAAAATAGCATACAGGTCATATGACCTACTAACAAGTTATAAATACCTTAGAATTGTCTTGTAATTCACTCCTGAGGATGACGTTGCAACGTCGAAACATGTAGAGTCGTCAACTTTTTGAAGGCCATAGATAGGCCTAATGAAAATGTTTTTAATTGTGTACCAATTCTAACGTTGAATATTATTTATCATAGTTACGATAGTGTTCATTAATTGGGAAGTTCACACAATACTTTAATTGAGTGTAAAACCTTACGATAGTGTTCATTAATTGGGAAGTTCACACAATACTTTAACTGAGTGTAAAACCTTACGATAGTGTTCATTACTTGTGAAGTTCACACAATACTTTAATTGAGTGTAAAACCTTACGATAGTGTTCATTAATTGGGAAGTTCACACAATACTTTAATTGAGTGTAAAACCTTACGATAGTGTTCATTACTGGGGAAGTTCACACAATACTTTAATTGAGTGTAAAACCTTACGATAGTGTTCATTACTTGGGAAGTTCACACAATACTTCACTTGAGTGTAAAACCTTACGATAGTGTTCATTACTTGGGAAGTTCACACAATACTTCACTTGAGTGTAAAACCTTACGATAGTGTTCATTACTTGGGAAGTTCACACAATATTTCACTTGACTGTTAAACCTTACGATAGTGTTCATTACTTGGGAAGTTCACACAGTACTTCACTTGAGGATACCCGACATGTATACAGAACCGGAATTTCCAATTTCTCCTGAAGGTGGCTACGTTCCAAATGTTTTAACTAACTGAATACTTTACTTCAACAAAAATGACTGGCTATAGTAGTGATGTCCTGACATAAGAATTGTCAACTAATGTCTCTGCCAGAAGCCAACAAAGCAAATAATTTCAATTTTATCTCAGGCCACCTTGTTCTCGTCAAACAATGTTCTCTAACATTACTATCTACACTACCCAAATGTCAAAGCAGATTTTTTCCCGGGTTTACTAACTAATCAAATATGGTGTTGTTGTCTTACTAGAAATATTATCGACATTTCAATCTAGGATTTTTTTCTAACGAAAACCGGTCTAACTCTTGCCAAAGAATACATCTGTTTACCAGACTGTTTCCATACAAGTCTAACGTTAAAATATATTACAAGTATGCACCTTTAACATAGAGATGGTACTATTTGATAACTGTAACATCATTTTTTAAAGACATGCTCTGTAACAACCCCCCCCCCCCCGGGTGGACATTCTCTGTCTCTACCTTTACTACATACATTACACAACTGATCGATTCCCATTCGATAAAAAAGGTTTACCTGGAAATGAAGAATAATTGTCCAAATGAGGCCTAGGGTTAACTTCGGGTTGCCGTCCACGATGTCTTCAGGTCTGATATTTACCAGTTTGATCTAATATTTTTAATAAAGACATATCACTCACTGTTACTTTTATTAAACGGCACAAGTTTTACGTTAAAACAAAAACGAAGTGTTAAAAGTCCTGAAACCGGTTCACCTTAATCTTTTTTATTTTTCAAATAATGTAGAGATGACATCGCCATTTATAGATAAAAGTGATAACTGAAGATCTGGAAGTTTCGTAATCACAAATGGAATCAACTGTCCCGAGTAAAACATCTACATATTTCAACTATTCTCTAACATCCTATTAACAGTTGGTTTATACCTTATTTATGAGACAACTATCATTAGTTGTGTTAGTTTGTTTGTAATTAAATACAAAACTATACAATGTGCTACCTGTGTTATACCCACCACGGGTACCGAAACCCGATTTTGAGCATTAGGATCCTTCACACTTACCGCTGAGGGGGCCGTTTTAAAAGAGTTCCATAACATTTTAACTTGAATTATCAGTAATAAACACATTTGTTGGACGAGTTATATGGTTTAAGGTTTGTATTTTAAATAATATCATCAAAAAATATAAAACAGTCATTTATTTTATAGAATTAGTGACCATCATAAAGGTACTTATCAAGAAAATTATGTTCTAAGCGCCATCTGTGATTTTGTACTGGAATTATAATGTACATGGGGAAGGGATAGGAGGGCTAGTTTGAACAGTTAAACATTCAAGTAAGGTATTCTGTACGAGGAGGTCAATGATAATATATACCTTGTCACATCATAGATAAAATATCTGATTACATATCTTAGTTTTATGCGTGTTACAAATCCACAATGGTTTTAAAAAAAAACTTTGTTCTAAGCTCCCTCTAGTGGAATATAACAAATATATTATGTTTTAATTTATAACTTAAGTATTTGATTCATGAAATTTCTATTTATAATAGCATCAATCTAAACAAACTCTCTCCTAGCACTGTCTGTTATCATGAAATATGTAGATAAACAGTAAATAGGGTTAACAACACGTACATGAATTGTATCACCAGTCATAGGTTCAGAATGATCAGGTGGATAACCTCACCCTGTCTGTGGCCCATGGCTCGGAGGGGCCAAAAACACGGTTGATCAAGCAGAATTTTTAATAGTTAGTTAGCTAAATAGTAAATTTTTATTCCATTTTCCTTCTCGTCTCAACTAAACCAGTTACAATAGAGAGTTTAAGGGAAGCCAAACAAACTCAAAACCCTATACTACTACATACAACTACTGTTCAACATGAAAACCTGCCATGAGGAAACAATTACACATGTGAGTTATATTTATACTATGATTAATAGAATTTCTATTATTAACGTCATATGATCCCAGAATTATCTGCCCGTGTTACAACATAATATTACAAACCAAAATCATAAGTAGCCTTGTGGAAATATGGCTGCCATTAATATCGATTAATTTACATACCGAGTAAAAAAAATCAAAGTTTAAGGTGAAATACATATTTTTGTCTACTTTTATCCCGTTTAAAACTCACAACTTATGTTGTTATTACGAGTTCTAAAAGCCTAATAAATCAATATAAAAAATGTATTGTGTCATGATATTCTACTGTGTTTAGATATTGGGGAGAGGGTTCCTTTCATATATCCACTAACTGGTTGTTCCTTTCTCGCGTGACCAATTAGACAATATTTTAAAACTGACTTTGCCTGCAAATTGAAGTAATTACTGTCACACATAAGGCTTCAGAGAAATGTCTGCAGACTTGAAACGCTAGAAACCGAGTTTCGATCACCGTAGTGGGCAGAGCACAGATAGCCCATTGTGCAACTTTGTGCTTAACTTTAAACAAACAAACCTTACCTCTTGGATACGAAGAAAGTTTAACGCTATTTGCACATTCTGAAGTCTGTGAAAACGCATCTGTCCCTTTTCTCTGGGCTGTAAAATACAAAAACAATTATAATTTATTATCAGTTGGTTTAATGATAAACACAATCAAAACATTTATTTTAATACTACCAAACACAGTACCTCACATCATGATTGACCAGATTACACCTCCTGAGGTAAGTTAGCAGCATGGAATAAGATTCTATGAAATTTTCAATAGTTTTTGGATCGGAAGACGTGTCTATTATAATTAACTAGCGTAAAGCCTATACCCTATAATATACCCTAACCTCAAATTTCATAGTTAACTGAAATAAATAAATCTTGCGAAATCAAACTTGACCAACAAATACGCAGAGAAGTGCAGTCGAGAGATAGTCAAACGTAGGTAAATTCCTTTGTGAATTAATCATAATTAAGATTATTCATGAAATGAATTCGTGACGTATTTATAGAATAATTATTGGTAAAAAACCATATTGTTGCGTCAGCGAGGTCACGTGACTAGTATCATGCCACGTCCTTCTAGAAATATCCTGTTCCTTCGTGAATGCTCTAGCATTTACTAGAGATGTGTTAGTCTTGTATATATAAGACGGTCACAACGTGACGGAACAATGAGTATTTGAATACATGCGGACAGAATATTGTTGGCCACGTGAGACGTGAGTTATAGCGTTTGTTATAGAGTGACTGTTGAAATTAAGTGTATCGTAAAGTTGTATTCGGAAAGAATAAACCAGTTTTATTTAAGAAAGGACTTGTGTTGCTAAAGTTTAGTCGGAAAGAATTTACGGAAAATTAACTAACGAACGGAGGTGTAACAATATTAACACTTCTAATATACAGAGAAGCCAGTGTGTTTTATAAACACTACGCTGCAACAATGGCTTTTATGTCATGTCCCTTAGCAACAAAAGAAGAACCTAATATTGTTTTTAGTCTATGTATTGAAAGTATAAAACGAAATGTATAGAGACATCAAAATTGGAAAAATATTCGTTGATTTCTTAATTTAAAGTCTGCGTTGATTAAAGAGGTGTGTATTTTATTAAAAACGTTGGTGATATAACACAAAATAACTTAATTCAGAGACGATATAAATTTAAAACTGTATCGATATTTTATACACTTGGCTCGAGGCTAGGTGATCCCACACGACGTATATACTTTAGGCTCATAATACCAACACTCACTACACCTATAAGGTTTCACAGCCCCCTTGCACCCCCGTCTCTAAAATCGTAATGGGCAGACAGTACTCGAACTATTGTATCTGGATAAATGTATTTTGGCTTTTATGACTCCTCCTATTTCGAGAAATCAAGCGTGACATGACGTGACACATACTGGCTATTATATAGGTTAGATGTGAATTTGTATGTTTTATGCAAGAACATGAAGTACTAAAAGGTGAAGAAAATGAGCATTCATATGGCTTGGAAAGATTCTTTCATAAAGAAATAGTGTTTTAAGAAACACTGCCCCAGACACATTTTCCAATCAAAACTCCACAAGACAACGTAATGTACCTTATGACCCACACCTTGATAAGTGAGGTTTCTTATAGAGTTATCAGCTGAAGCTGGTATGAACTTTGTCACCATATTTCAGCCGATATATTTTACATTCCGTTTTACTCAACATTAAAATCTATGCTAAAGCATTACTAAGGTATTTGATTCATAATAATAACAACCAGAACTTACAAGACGTTCCCCGGAGAGAACTTCCAACAAAGAGATGAGATTCGAGCCATCACGAAGATCTTCAAACAAATTGACAACCTGTCTGCCAGCCTGAAAACAACAACAACAAAAATGTGTGTGTGTACATACATACGTATAGGTATTGACTTTAATAGTAGTTATTAACTCAGACTATCAGTACTAAATATTATGTCAACACAAGTTTTTATTCTTAATACACATTGGCTATAATATACTGTGGTTCCATCTAGTGAGATCGAAGGGAACTTATTCCATCTGAAACTTGTTGAAATTAAAAATATTTAATTGCTTTGATAATATGATGTATGTTGGTATATCTGTGAAAAGTGTTCAGAAAAATAAAAGTTGTATCCAGTTTATCAGGATTAATAAAAATGCTTACAACAATTTTTTATTAGACTCTCACTAATCCTATGACCCAAGAAAACTACAGGATCCGACAGACTAATCCATTTGTTAAAAAACTTTCAAAGTAAACTGCTTTGTGAAAAATAACTGCATGTCTTATAACCTTAGGAACCTGCATTGTTAGTTTAATTTTTAAATGTATTTTCAAAATATTAATATCAAGATATAAATATATGTTTATTACAACTTTGTATATGTTACCTTACTTAGATCTAAACAAGGTATAAATAAAATTAGCCATAGATATTACATGTTCTATTTTAAAAACGCAAAAGTTAACCATGCTAGTGATACAGATTCTATTACAAAATTTAAAGGTTAACCATGCTATTGTTACAGATTCTATGGCCAAACTTAAAAGTTAACCATGATATTGTTACAGACTGTATGACCAAACGTAAAAGTTAACCATGCTAGTGATACAGATTCTATTACAAAATTTAAAAGTTAACCATGCTATTGTTAAA